GACAGCTTATAAATCAGTTTTACAGGAGTGGTAAACAACACGGCGGTTGTTTTCACTTCCAGCAGAACAGACGTGTACCACACGGCGGTGGTGAAACTTTGCTTCAGACATTTCTAAAAATATCTGTAATGATTTTTTTTCCTAGCAGATAGGAGAGTTTAAAGATGGAAAGATGAAGTTTATCTACAGAGAGATGTGTGAGGGAATTTGTCTGTTTTAACCAGAACCGACACGCTCCTTCTTTTCCAGCTTGGGCCAACGGTACGCTTAGTTGAGATCGACTCTTTTACCTTGCAGATGATAGTTTCAGCGTTGGTGTAGAGCTCTCCTTTCAACTCTTTCAGCGTCTCCGTGAGAACAGCTAAAAACCTCTGGAGTCGTGAGGTGATCCAAAACAGAAGTTCATAATTCCCAAATCGTCTCTGGTTCAGCTTGATTCTCTTTCAGCAGCATCCTGAATTCCAGCCTTCTGCATTCTGGAACTCCAAACTCTCAGAACTGCTACTCCATCTTCAAGACTGAGCTTACAGCAGCTTCAAGACTGAGCTGAACTCTGGATTGAACTAGGAAGTGTCAACATTTAAAGAAAGCTCACTTCCGGTTCATTTGAGAGCTTCTGATTGGTCGATGGACCAAAACAGAGGTGTATTTTGTGATGTAAGGTGTTATGAAAAGTCAAGGAAAAAGATTAAGATTGTTTAAGAACAGACAGAAAGATATTATGAAGGAACCAGACTTCGTGGAGTCACCTCTTCCAGTATCTTGCTGTAAAAGTTAAACATGACATTTCTTTTCAGTAAACTTTCAGTTGACCGAAACTTGAACTTCGACACACTTACAACTTCGCTCATTGAAGATAGAAAATCAAGAAATGCATATTAACCTGATTTCTTCTTTGAATGAGGATTAAGAATCATTATTACTGTTTCACAGTTGATTTAAATGATTAGTTCACTTCAACATTTAAAAATGGTTTGAACTAAAACACAATTTGATTATCAAAACATTTGTAAAATAGTAATGATCATAGAGAATTGTCTTTTTCCACTTGATTAATTCAAGAAAGAAAGTCTCAGGATGGGTCAACCTGTATTTCTGGATTCAAATCAATGAAATGACAGTTCTGTCCCAAATGATCCTTAGGTCAAGGTTTTGACCTCAGGCCTAGTTCACTACAGTTGTCACTTTCCACTCACTCCTCAGTCTGCCTCTCCAGTCCTCAGTCTTTATCATTCACACCTGTCCCTCATCAGCCACCTGCCCAGGTGCTCTCATTACTCACTCTTCCTCTGGCTTATAAAAAGCCTTTCTCTCCTCCACTCCTCGTCCAGTCATTGTTCTGTATTCACACAGACATCTCAGTCCTCCTCTGCCCTGTATGTTTTCGTCACCCGATGATCTGCCCTGCCCGTTTACTCTGATGTCCTGTTCAGTCTTGTTTCTGATTGTGTTTTGCCAGAGTAAGTTTTGCTGCATTGACAGTGTTTTGTTTTGTTGTTTAAATAAATTTGTTTTATTTGAACTCCTGCCTCGCTCGCCTGCCTGCATATGGGTCTAAACTTTGAAGATTGTGACATTACCTGCAGCAAAAACTTTCCTTTTCGAGTGTTTTCTATGAGGTAGGTGATCAGGCCGGAAGAGAAGCGGATGATGAGAGATCCACAGTTGGACTTTTTAGGATGTGGGAAGAGAAAACAGGATCCCAGGACATCAACTGCAAGGAAGGAGCAGCAGCTGTCACTGTAACACCAGAGAGAAAACCATTTATTTATTAACATAATAAAAACTGTGGAGAGAAGATGTTAGACGTGCAGAACACCGACGTTGCGACACCAGCCCAGTACCACACAGCTTGAGCCAGCGCTTCCTCTGTCTCCACTAAACTTGGAATCCTGGATCTCCACACTGTCATGTTGCCTTGATTTTTTTTTTTTTTTCTGTTTTCGTGGAAAGTATAGGAAGAAAAATTACTATGACTGTTTATATTAATCTTCAAAGAAAATGAAAAGAAGCTATTCCACCTTCAGTTTAATATTTCATTGGGAAACAGGTTTTAGTGAGAGGAAACTAAACAGGAGATTTATATAACCCATATGAGATGGAACCTTCTACATCACACCACAACAAGTAGTGATGACCCTGAAAAAGACACCAGTGGGTTTACTTTACCTAATCAATTCTTTGAATCTTGACAGCGTTCTGTAAACACTCGGCCCACCTTGTGACTCTCTCAGTCGCTCCTGAAGACTATGCTGTTTGAGCGGCGTGGAAGTAAAGGAGCAATAAGCACCAGAACACAGTCCTTTGGTGCGGATGACTTTCTTGCGCATCAGAGAGGGCGAGGAGGTTGAAAATACTTCATCTTGGTTGGTTTGCAGACAGTTGGAAGAATTCTTAGTTTTGTCAAACTGGTTGAAAACAACAAAGTCCATGCTCAATAATTCAGGAATAAAATCCAACATTTTTCATTTAGGTTGTCAATAAACCAGGTGTCTGTAGTGGTGATACATGAACAGGCCACC